GAGGGAAAATAGTTCAATAGTTTTACGCCTTTGCCCTGTTTTCTGACATATTTTTGTTTCTTGTCGTTTTTTATATTGATCTGATGAAACAGCTGACATCCATTAGTTAAAAGGAGAAACTAAATAAATATTTTCGACATTAAACACAACCACAAGTTACAGGCTAACCACCTGTGGCAAGGCTTCCACAGGTAAAGCAATATCCTTCTCAGTCTGGCTCTCCCCAGCCAGTTGTCCCTGACAGCTGATCGTTGGGCTTGCAGAATTTAATCTTGAGAAGGCCTGAAATGTGGATCTTCCCGGGACTCCATGTTGTTATTCTGTGGTAGTTCAGGTAAGTATTAGTGATGGGGAAACCTCAGACTCTCGGGTGGGTAAGTACGCAAACGTCATGTCACTTCGTAAAATGTCTCCAAACCTCTTTGCCTTGAAAGGCTCCTGACAAATGAATGACATTTCTGGAATGTGCCGTTTCTCACTTAAAGAAGTTTATCTCCTAGGATCTTTCCAGATTTGATGTTAGGAATCAGTAAATATTATGGGAAATAAAATTAAATTCACATCCAGGAAGGAAAGGAGGAACATTTCTGAAAACATGACTGACTTCTGTGCAAGTGGCCTTTGTAAGAGAATGACAGACTCGCTCTGAGACCCGAGGCTGCTGGGCCTGCCCAGAGTGACCCACGGACCCCGTGCTGTTCCAGAAAGGCCCTGCTTTTGTGAGATGCGCCAGGTTTCCCATTTCCAACACCTCGGAAGACACTTGGGTTTGGGTTTTCAAAACAGTGCAAATACAGTAATGATGCTACTTCTACCGTGAAAACCAATGAAACAGTAGCTTCTTACATGTACAGCTCTTACAACCAATAGCTACCAATTTGTTTTCCAATTGATGCACCAGAGACCTGGAGCCCTGAAACATGATGCCATTGAAGAGGAAGCTGCATTGAGAGCTAGACGGTGAGGTTCAAGAACAAACTTAACCAAACAACTGCTCTCCATAAACCAGACGCAAATATCCAGGCTGACTTGCTCTCTGAAATGCCTGAGTACAACAAGAGAGGCCCCCACCTCTGAGAGTCCCAGAGCCACACCCTGGGGACAGGGGTTGCATGGTCAAGTCTCGTCACCCATTAGGCCTCTGGACCCACACCAGGTCTGCGTGGTTCTTTCCCTGAGCAACTCCACCCCGTCCCTATTTGTCCACAGCCTTTATCAGTGTGGAAAAGGGTCATCAAATCCCTAACACTCTGACTCTAGTCTGGGTATCTTGACATGGATGCTAAGAACCACTGGTCCAGTGGGCCAACAAAAGACAAGGTAGTGGCATATCTTTATTTGTCTTGAAATACGCTACCTTCTGGTCTCTAGCTGTGTTGACAGCTCTCTGATGCTTGGATGCAGTGATCTCTGGGACTTCACTAAAATAACAGCGTAGAAAACTACAATCCCTGTGCCATGAGCCAGCCACTTACAAGGAAAATCGCATTTTCCCGCCAACAGTCCCTTACACGATGCCACTGAAAGCAAACACCAAAAATGGGATCTTTATCTCAAAGAAGAGTTCACTAAATATGTGTTGAGGAAAGGAATGAAACGAGGAATGAGGCAACTGATGCAAAGAATTCATGAGCTGGCAACTGTTAGTAAATCTTTGTATATCTGGACTCGAATCAAGCTTTCCCAAGATACAACACAATAAACTATAAAGCCCTTGGAGGAGAGAAGTGGTAACACAATCTTTTTCTGTTATGTTACACCGGAAATCTTTCTTCTCCCCACCAAAAGGCTGTACTTGAATGGATGTTCAATAAATATTTAACTGAATCAAATTATATAAATTCTGCAAGATTTAGGTTTACAACTTGAATTATCCACACAATAACTATGTAAAAGTATATCCCCCCTTTTAAAAAAAAGTCACTTTTAAAGATAAAGACAATCAAAACAAAGAGCTTATCTTTAAAAAAAAAAAAATCATGCACATTTCCTGGGGAAAACATTTGGCCTTACTTGAGGTTACCGAGATTTTTCTAGAAATGTGATGTTTGCAGCCCCACCTGGCATTACCCTTTGGCTCAGACTCTTAGCTAGACAAATGAGCATGTGTGAGGATGGTACATCTTATTCTGGGGGGGAAAATATTCACCCTGGAGAGAAGAGAGCAAACAGGGAATCCTCCAGGAGTCAAATACCGATTCAGCAGATAGCCTCCCCCCATCTCAGTAATTCAGAGCCTTTACTCTCTTTAGGCTGTAATGAATTAGGAAGTTGCTAATGAGGGAAACAGGCAAATCTTTATGACTGCAGTTTCTGCCACCCATTTGCAGGCCCCGTGTGAGTATCTGCCAATTTTTAAATAAAAACACTAAAGCAACAGTTGGGAGATTTTAAGGAGAAACCCCTATTTCAGTACATACTTCACTTAAAAGCCTCTGGGACCTAAATGACGTCAGGACCTACTTCAGGACTCTAAGTCAATTTACAAGTAGAGACCTGTCTTACGGACAGACAGCCAAAGCTAGTCTGCTAGAAACTGGCAATGATTCAGCAAAGTGACCATTAGGAGTGTCCCCGATTTTCTATTTGTTAAAGAGAAAATATTTCTGGCCAAGTTCGGTGGGAAATACAGGCCAAAAGTCTGCCTTACTAAGAAAGGTGGGCGGGCGATAAGCTTAAATGGAGGGAGAAAGCTAGAAGAACCTTCTGGTTTAAAAAGGCTACCGCCATACTAAGTGGGACCTTGGGATCAGCTGGCAAGACCATGAAGAGTGACAGAGACCACTGTTACGGAAAGTTCCCATGGCAGACACCAAGAGAGGAGTGAAATCTTCTAATTTCTGTACGTGGAGGCCACGGGAAAGGAGAAGAGTGCATTTGTCTCAAAGAGTGAAATATGGCAAATCGCGGAACTGATTTTTCTCACTGGAAGAAACTGTTAGGGACGTACAGGTGAGTCCCTTATTGTCATGTTCAAAATGTACAACCAAATGCTTCTGCCTTAATCAACAGAATAGCTTACTCGTCTATACAGCCAATCTGACACTTTCTTACAGGTTTTGGATTCGTATGGCTCCATGTTTTTTTCCACCCTTCCCAATGGCACACATTTTCGGCAAATGTCTCCATCATTTCAGACAAGGAGCTATAAAACAGAAGACATCCTGATCTACCAGACGGAACACTTTCTATCAGCATCGGTTACATAGGAGCACAGAATGCCAAGAGTTCCATGACAAGGAGCCAAAAAGAATGCAGGGAGGGAATGTTCTAGGTCATCTTGGACAATGGGGGTCAGGATTGTTCCAATCCCTCTTTGGAGCCCACAGCGTTGGAGATCATTTTGAGATATAAATATATTGTGAAAAAGAGAAATAACAAGCCCTAAATGGAGCCATCGGGCCCCTACAAGAGCCCACCAAGACTTAATTACAGTTTCAACCTGTCCCACAAACATGACCCTTTAAGAGTCAATCTGGAATGTCTGACTTGCACTAGTGAGGTAAACTGAAAGAGAAAAATCCTGCAGGCCCCTTTCTCCCCCAAAAGATGATGTCCTGGCCTGAAAGAATCCTTCCTTTTGCTGGTACCTTCCTTGCCCTACCCTCCTTCCTAAAAAAAAAAAACCTCCTACTAAGTTACTCCCAACTCCTGGGAACTGGCAAGCTAGGACATGGCCCAATTCAGGAATCCTTTAATAAAGCCAATCTGATCTTCAAATTGCCTCGATTCGGTTTTTTTTTTTGACAACATATATATAAATAAATTACAAATGTAATTAACGAGGCCCCGTTTTCCTCCACTTTCAATGGGACAGTTGGGTGCTAAGGGATGGGTAAGCAAACTTAGAAGGAAAGGAAGATGTTCTGAGAGCCAAATCCATGAAGACCAAGTAGAGTGAACCAAGAAGTACCCTTGCCTTCCAGAAGCGAGTTCTGGGTCTTATATATTTGTTACGGGAAGACCCTGGGAGGTCTAAAAGTTTAGGGAGTTTCTTAAAAGACTGTGTCCTGCTGTTGGGTGATCAGGGCATCTACAAGGTGCATGCGGTCCCTGCCATGATGCTGGCAGGAGCGGCCAGTTCTTCCCGGGTAACAGATCATTCTGTAGGATGTGCCCTGGAGGGACTGGGCACGGCCGTCGGGCTGCCCAAAGACCAGCTGAAGTTCACTCGCTTTCCTTGTACTCAACCAAACAGTGAAATTATGGACACCATCCCTTCTCTTTCAACAGATTAATGATGAAGGAAGAGCCTTGTCAAGGGCCAGAGGAGAGGACAAGGTAATTCCAATGGATAAAATGAGCGGTTCCCACGCGGTCTGTTCTCATCACAACCCTCTCCGGGATGGCTCCTCTCACTGTTTCCTGGACTGGGCTCCTGTCCCTTATTTTTGCAGGAACATTCCCCTGACACTGCAGAGGGAGGAAAGGGGTCTCCCAGGCTTCACCTACGGAAGGAAGGAAGAGAAAAGGGCCTCCACAGGGCACTGGCAATGGGGCTGGGCACCCGTCCTGCTCATACATTCAACACCTTCACAGACACAACGAAAAAATTCCTTGAAGCCTCATACCTTCCATTTCAGCTTCAGACCGAAGAACTTTATTTTTTGTGTTTTGTTTTTTTAAGCTAAAACGGTACTGAAAACAAACTCTTCTCAACTAGCTGCTTCGGAACAATATACTGTATTATGAAGCTCTGTACATTTTCAATGTTTTTGAGATCCTGACAGGCCAAAGGCAGGTCCCCACTTCTCCTTGAATTCTGAAACCGAACCATCTTCTGCCTCTTCCAGGCTCATCTGCATCAAGGCCAGGCTGGCAGAGGGAAGGAGTGGCGTAAAAAGTGCGTAGGAAAACACAGAAACGCACCAGCCTCGGGGCCCACGGTGGCATTGACCTAGTGGAGGCTCTGGCGTCTGGTTCCACGATCCCGGCAGGACAGCCGCATCGGCCCCCTCCCCACCTTGAACCCAAGCAGCAGGAAGGGAGGTTGGGGGGGGGGCTGCCGTACAATGGGTCCCCTTGAATCATGCTACTAAAAAAAGGTGCAATGAGAAAGAAGTCCCTGTGCGTTCCCGGTCACAAGTGTGGGCAGAAGAACCCACAGGATTCCTCCCTTTGGTATTAAATAACAGTTTAAAAAAGCTTTTTAGAAACAAAGCAAATACACGGTGGGACCGGACACGGGAGTCGTCCCAGGTCAGTCGTCCACTGAAACGAGTCTCATCCCTAATCATAAATAAATAATCTCTGTCCTGGTCCGACTTCCACGCCAGGATCAATATCTCTTAACATCTTACTTATTTTATTACTGCTTTTGGTTTTCTGGGACTGATTGAAAGTTGCTCAGAGGAAATCTTTGGTTTTGCTTAAGTGTCCATGACATTTAATCATGACTTCCCTTGCAGTTTAATTCCAACCAGTCAATCAGTTAATCCACTTCAATTGATTCTGGGCTCTCGGTTATTGGCTTGCACTCATTGGGCATCCGCTGGTGCCGGCTCAGCTGCGTGGCCTGCGTGAAGCTCCTTTCACACCTCTCGCACCTAGTGGAGGCAAGAGAGAAAATTGAGACCGGGGAGCGGGGCCTGCAGGGTGATGGGCTTCCTCTCATCCTGCCTAATGAGAACCGACACTCCAAAGTGGCTTCCGATTTTACCGGCTCGAGAGGTTTAATTGGTGGCTCCTTCCCAGGCCTGGAGGGCCGGGATGGGACAAAGCCCGTCTGGCGCGGAACAGAGGGATCTGTCAATAGGCAGGGGGAAGGTGATTTCTCCAGAGAGCCCTGTCCTGCTGCAGCTCTGATCACTGTCAGTTCAAATAGATAAAGAACAAAAAGAGATTTTTAGGAGTGAGCCATCAAAGCCGCAGCTTGTCTGCAGTTTTCTGCTCTGTAACCCCAAAGAGAAATTGACGACAAATAGAATTTCACCTGCTGCTAATTTAAAATCGGGGAATTGTCCTCCGCTTGGGCACGGCGGCCCAAGGGCCATCCCCTCCGAATGTGGACGGTGGAGGGAGTGTGACGTCGGTCTGTGTGACTATGGGCAGTGGGGGTGGGTGGCTGCTTTGGTGCACAAGTATCACCAAGCAGCCACAACTGGGGGGGAGTGGCTAAAAGAGTTGTCTGCAGCGTGGGGTGGGAGACAGATGAATTCACCATCAGCCAGTGCTCACTTGGCTCAAGAAATCCACCTCCCGAGAAGGTACAGACAAGAATGACCCTGGAAGCCATAATTAGGGGTCGGTGTGTCTGATGAGGAGAAAACTGGCATCCTGCTTCTGGAAAAACTCCTGTCTTCAACTTAAACAACAACAAAAAAAATTGTAACCTAGAGACGCTGAGCTCGACCCATCTCCCATGCAACACACTCACTAGCTCGATGGCTGCTCAAGCCACAAAGAAACTAACGCATGTGCATGTGTGCACACGTCCAATGGTGGCTTCCAGCTTTCCCGTGGTGGTTATGACTCCTGGCTGGTTGTCTCCGGTTATGCACACACGCAAACTAGTGCAGCAAGCTGGCACAAACTGTGCCTTCCTGTCACCACCCTGCACATCTTGGCTGCCTGGAGCACTGGCCAAGACTGGCGGCGGTGGGGGGGTGGGGTATAGTGGCCACCACATCATCCCCTTAATGTCTTCTCCTCAATCCTTTGAAGAAAAGGATATTCAGGAGCCCTGCAGATACTTGTCCCTCTTGAAAATAACACAACCTTCGGTCTCAGGTCCCTGCACTACAGGGTTGGGGCAGAGCTCTCAAGACCTCTAAAGCCTTCACTGCTCCATCATGTGCCACATGCCCTGTTATCTGGGGAATAGTCCTCTCTTCCCTCCCTGACTTTTTTAGTCCACCCTACAAAGTGCCTTTACCTAAAAGGAAAAAAAAAAAAAAGAACACATCCATCCACTTTGGGGTGTTCTTGTCTATTTTTTAATGTTGGGAGGCTGGGGGCTTGACCGTCACACTGGGATTTTCCAGGGCTCCCATGCCAGCTGCATGTGTCAGGGTGAAGAAGTTGTGTTTCTTTGATTATCTTCCCGGGAATATTTTTAGCAGCCTGTTCCACTGTTAAAAACTGCACTGTGATCTTGACAAATGTATAATGTCAGCTTTAATGTATCAGACCTATCAGCTCAATGAAAATAACTCAGAAGTATTGATCAGCTAATGATTTTTGGTGTATTCATTAACGTCCACGGGCAGCTCATCCTCTCTCCAGAGCCTCCCAAGGTGCTGATGACATGTTAGCGAATTGCTGATTGTTTATTAGAAAACTGATTAGTTACTGGATCAGTGTGTCCAAATATACTACCTTTCACTGCTGACAAACTTTCAAATTATTATATTACTTTGTAAAAAAAAAAAAATTCTGAAGCTTTAGAATCCACTTCAAAGAGAATTGCTGGAACACTTACAAGCAAAGACCATTGACCTGGGGTTGCATTTCTGCACTTCTCATCCTGGGTATTTGAAAAAAGAATCGGACATAGGAAGTTCCGTGCTTCATATAAGGCCAAGTGTACGTCTCTATGTGATAATTAAATACCCAGATTAGACAGAGACTTTCCAAGGCGAGTTAGGCTTTTCTCTAGCAGTTTGCCTAAGTGGCCACACAGATAGTTACACCCCCGGAATCGGAAATCTACAAAGTCCACACTGTTGGGCTCCCGAGATAGCTCACTGAAAAATCACCTCCAGGGTTACCTCCTCCAAGTGTGAATGAAAACACATGCAGATGTGTGTACCTGTGTGGGCTGGTTTCTTACCAACCCGCTATGGAAGTGAAGAGAAATAGATAGAAAAAATACTCTTTTTTTTTTTTTTTAAGATTTTATTTATTCATTTCACAGACAGAGAGAAACCACAACCAGGCAGAGAGGCAGGCAGAGAGAGAGAGGGGGAAGCAGGCTCCCCACCGAGCAGAGAGCTCGATGCGGGGCTTAATCCCAGGACCCTGAGATCATGACCTGAGCAGAAGGCAGAGGCTTAACCCACTGAGCCACCCAGGCGCCCTGGAAAAAAAAAATTATTTTAAAATAAAGGAAGAGCCTCCATTTTACATTCATTACCTTTTATTTTAGAAAAGTTCTTTTCCTGAGGTCTTTTTATAGCTGAATAAAACTCCTCAGAAAGACATACTTCATGCAAAAGCCTGGGGCCAGCAAGTCAGAGCTAGACTTTGTCTGAGTTGGCATTTAATGAACCCTGAGGTCCAACCCAGACAGGAGCCTGGGTGCCTCTGATCCTGAACTTCATGCGGCATAGCTGAATAAGAAGGAAGGAGAGATGGGGGTAGTGAGACAGGAGCAAAGGAAGGCTCCTGCACACGGGTCTTCCTCTCTGTGCTGATGTCACAGCCTTAAAGGGGCTATTGCAGGGACTCTGAAGTGGAAAGGGATCTGAATACTTTGGGACAAAGAAAGCTTTTCTACAAGTTTGGGTATCTTAGTTAGATTTGGTTTCCTTTTAGATTTGAAGTCATTCTTTGCTTTATGTAATGGTTGGCTGGATTATTGGTACCGGGAGCCTAACAATTACCAGCAGAAATTGACAGATGCCAAAATGACATCAAGTTCTATTACAAAGAAAACCTTCAAGAAGCTTTCCTTTGTGCCTCTGCGGCCTGTCACCAAATATTTCTTGGACTGAACCAGCCTGCGCAGGGCTTGGGCATACAAAGTGCTCAATGCAGATTTACTGATGTGCTCTTTTTATTTGCTCTGTTGCCTAAGTCTTGTTAAAATATCAGATGCTCTTTGGAATATCCTTGGATTTTTTTTTTTAATTTTATAATGAGCCGCTCTTTACTTTAGGCAAAGATGTACTGATGAGTATTTCCCCCTGCATTTTACAAACATGCAGAGAAGAGCCTTTCATATGGTAAGTCCTGGTGTTCCCATGCTCCAAAGCTGAGCACCAAGGAATTTATGAGGATCCAGACAGAGCAGAGCAGAGAGCAGCCCCCGTCTGAAATCTTCAGAGGTTATGTTTAGGAACAGGGAAGGAGAAAGGAATCCTTCTTCTTAATATCCTTCCTTCTTTCCTTGTTTCAGTAAAGAGCTAGGAATTACTGTTAAATGAAATGATGTCTCCTTTTGTTCCTTTGCTGTCAATGACTTCCAGTCCCACCAAGACAGTCAAGTCGCCTGCCAACAGGCCCATGACCAACCTGCTGCTTTGGGGGTGGAGTGGATTCCGGTGGGATCTCAGCCAATCAGATCATGAGGCAAAGCCTGGACCGAGACTCTGATCTCTTAATGCCAGATCTTCTCCAGCCTTCTTTGGATGGCAATAATCTTGATCTGCAGATTATTTCATCCCAGCAGAAGATTTCAGATGTTGGAAAGGACCCTCCCTTGTCGTGGCAGGCTAGTGCGAATTCTGTGAAAGCCTCCGGGGCCCTGGTGGGTGGGACAATCTGGGGGCTGAGCCATTTGGGGCATCTCCGTGGAAGCTGCCCGAGGCATACACTTTAGGGGTCTACATCTTTATGAGGTCCTTCCCCTCCTTTGTAACATTGTTTAAGCCAATACCCATTAGTTGAAATAGTAAAATTAACTGTTGTGGCAAAATCTGTTTTATTGACTAATCGGCAACAAAAGTTTTTTTGAATGTTTCTTTTATGAGCTTGTAAAAGGGTATATTCATAATATTTACAAATGTCCGTGGGATGGATATCCATGAGCTATGGTGAGAAGCTTCCCAAAACTCCCTTGGGATAGTTCAACCCTGGATGGTCTGATTGTATATACTGAAGGACTGAGCTTTCCATTTCCTAGAAGATGTTTAAAACTTGCACTATTTACATGACCATACACTTGGGTCTCCCCTGGGAATATATATTTGATGAACCAAAAGAAATAAAACCCACCCCACCCTACATACAGCATGTAGCCACCCGAATATGAGTAGAAGCAGAAGGAAATAGAGCGTATACCTAGAATCTAATTCAACCGAACCATATGGCATTCTTAATTTGTTCTCCTGGTGAAATTAGGTGATGGTCACAAAAAACATACTTTAAGAAAGGAAAAAGATGCAATTATTAAAGCCCCTCAAATATTAATCTGATGAATTAAAGTTAAAATGGCAACTCTATTGGAAACATGACAAAAACAGGATGTGAGAGGAAAAAAATTGAGTGGAGTCAACAAGGTTACACATAAGTAACACCTTAACATTAATAGAAATCTATTTCCCATTTTGACCCTGAAACCTCTTCAATTAATTACTAAAATCTATTTACAGAGCAACAAGATAAAGATCAATCTGATTCCTGGCACTCTCTCCATCGGGTTGCCCTCTCTAACGTAAGGGGCCAGAAGGATCGTCAATCCTCCAGCACCTTTGCTTTTGAGAAGTTTTCCTGCTCCAAGGCCTGGCACTTGGGTGACTGCCCTTTTCCCCATCCAGAGCAGTCACGAAGCCAGAATCTGTGGAGCCCCTGAGGGTTAGGCCTGAGGGCAATGACAAAGTCCACTGTGCGGGATGAAAACACCTATGACAGGAGCTCAAGCACCTGTGCTAACCACTGGCCCCTAGGGTAGATTGCAAAAAAGCAGTCCCTTTGGGCTCTCAGAGCCCCCAGAAGGTCCAACCTGGCTGGTACAGTGCAGGTTTGATTTTAGACCTCTTCCTGTCCCCTTAGTCAAAGGCTTTTGTGCAGTGCACAACCTGCACCCATGTACACAGATAAAAATTAAAACTCATTTGATTATCAATATCATAAATTAAACCATGATGAAACTAGTTAAGGATAATGAATAAAGGTAACTAAATTGTGGGGAGGTAAGTGAAGATGACAACTTTTATGAGTTCCTCCCTCTGGTGGCAGACACCGAGGCAGGCAAGACCCAAGCCAGCAGACTCTGCTACCCTGAGACAAGCTGAGCCTCAGGCTGAACACCGGGAAAGCAACAGACCATGCCAACAGGTCCAAAAGGGAGATCATGGGCTATTAGACTCTACAAAGACTCGTTGGCTGAGAAGGAGCAAGTGGATTTGTCTCCCACTGCCTGAATTATTTCTCTTCTTGCTTGATCTTGTCTTACAGAAAGTAAATAGTCTACATCTCTGTCCTTCAAATTTTCCTTCCCAGCCAGGGAAAACCAAGATGGCAAATGAATAAAGAGATATGTGGAGGGGTGAAGAGAAAAGAGTTGATCACACAGACACCAGAAGATGCTTTGACACAACCGACCAAGTCAAATGTATTGGTTCTCACTCCCAAGCCTTTCCACATGTTGTGTGGACTGCCAGAAATGCCTCTCTCCTTTGTATGCCTGGAAAAACTCCTACTCATCCTTCAAAACCCATCTTAAACATCATGTCCACCAGACAGCACTGAGAACTTTATTTCTGGGCTACCCTGCAGCACTGTATGAATATAGTTTCCTGTTCTTCACTTTCATACTTTTCCTCCTATGTTGTAATAGTTGCTTATTAATTGGGCTTCCCCATAAACGATGTGGTCCTCAAAGACTGGGGGAGTGAATCTCATTCACCTTTATATCTTTTACACCTAGCTGGGTACCCAGCACAAAAGTAGACGCTCAATAAATATTTGCTGAATGAACAGCACATACAAAAACAGATGAATGAGTGAAAGAACAGGCCATCTTGCACGATTCAGACGTCTGCTGTTTTTATGATTGAACTGTATCTAGAACAATCTCTCTCTGGGGAGCTCTTACCTTGCAAAGTCCTTGGAGTTTAGTCCTACCTTTTCCCACATTCTCTGAATCCTCAAGAATTCGGATGTGCCCCGTGTGTGGTTGTGTTTCATTCTGTTTTGTGTCACCAACACAGTAATTCTGAGTTCTGAAGAGCACACTCGGAAAGCTATAAGTTGGCTGCTATCACAGATTTAAACCACTTGAACAGATAGGAAAGAGGAGGACAGAATCCACCAGAATCCTGAAACATTCAAGTTTCCCAAGGGATGACTCTTTAGATATCCTAAACCGGGATCACCTCACTTGATGGTCATGGGCTTGCTGGTGGCCCAAAGGTGGCCCCATGTGGGGGCTCCTAGCTTAAATTCTAGAAACATAGATCCTTGGGAACTAGAAAGTATCTTAAAATGACTTATTCCTACTTTCTTGTTTTTCTGAGGAGAAAACGGAGCCAGAAAGATCATCTTGTGTCCATGGTTGCACAGCTTGAGAGGAAAGGAGGTTCTGCAGGTAGGCTCTACTTACTTGAAGGGCTTTTCTCCAGTGTGAGTTCGGATATGGTTGTTGAGGGTGGTCGCCCCGGCGAAGGCACGACCACAGTAGCCACACTTGAAAGGCCGGTCACTGGAGTGGGTGACCACGTGGTTCCTCAGCTCGGACGGTTGTGAAAAGGACTGGGAGCAGTGACCGCACTGATAAGGTCTGAAATAAATAAAGAGACTGCCTGGTCATTACCGTCTGTGTCATTCAGGGCAAATCAGCATCATGAGTCAAGGGCCAGCGCTTTCTGGTGACATTTTCTCAGTTTTCCAAACAGCACCCTTGGGCTCTGGCTGCAGGGTCCCCTGAGACCCGCACATGGGGCCACGGGAACAAAATTCACAGAGCTTCTGAAGCACTTTAATTCTCAAACAAGTATTCCTTTCCGGGATTAACCGTATCATTCCAAGAACCCATACTTTCTTGTTTTTATCCCCACCTGAGGCAAGTATTAGCGCACTTTTGGGAGCATTGGGGCTCGATTAAGCAGAACATTAGAAGAGAAGATATGTAATTGTTGCTCCTAATTCTGTGGCACTTGAAACTCTTCAAAGTGCTACATCAATTACCTACTTTCATCTTCACACTAATCCTCTGTGGCAGGGAGAGCCTCTGTTACTATCTCTGTCAGTTCAGAAAACGCAGGATACACTGTCCTCTCAGGAATTAAGTTCTTGAGGCCAAGGTTACTGTAGGGTGTGGGGACTTGATCCTGGCGTAAACATGCAGAGAAAGCAGCAAGCTGCCTGCGTGTTTTAATAAATACACAACTGCCTTGGGGTCTGCAAATACAACCTCAACTCGGGGTCATTGGAGAGTTCACGGATGAACCCAGGTGTGTAACCAGATCTGTCTCTTTATAAAAACAATCCTGACTTGTGCTTAATCTTCATACAAATGCGCACACACTAATATTTATCCACTGGGTCTTCTCTTTAAACTTCAACTCCCCAGTTTAATTCGGTGGCAAGCAATGACGTAGAGCGGCACAGAAATGATGGGGTGTCGCTGTGTTTGCAGGAGGGAAGACAGTGATGTGAGGGAAGTGGAAGGAAGTGGTGACAAGTACCTGATAATTAGCAAGATTATCAGAGAGCATTCTTTCCAGCTTAGGAGAAGCACATCAATTTGGGGTTTTCATAAAATAGATTAAAAGTCTGTCTTCTCTGCGTAAGTTCTGCTGCTGACTGAAGCAGAATCTGGGGAGGGATGGGAAAACCTGGGGAAGTTTGCCCCTTTAGAAGCTACCTCACATCATTCTTGGATAGTGCTCTCATTTGTTTATTAAAATTCTGGTGAAGAAAATTAAGAATCGGTCACGAGGGATGTGAAAGGCACTGGCGAAGCCCTGGTTGGTGGCCCAGATATTTCCTGGCTGAGTTTGAGAAAGCCAGTGGCAGATGCTGACTTAATTGCTCTACCTTCCGCAAATGTGTAAGCTCCAAAAACCAGGAACCAAAACGAAGGGTCAAGAGACAATGGTGAGCGAGCCCGGACAACGATTCAATTAAGTGCAAAATAAAGTGGACCCGCTCATTTGTCAAGTGAAGTGCTTAATTGTGGCTACTTGCCTCACTGAACACCAACACTATTATTTTACCAGGCTTCAGCGCACTGAGCACTGATTGTAGAATTTTTTAGCTTGATTAATAGTCCAGGATTGGTCAATAACTCAATACTATACAATTTTAATTACTTACATTTAGAAATCTATTTAACTGCTCTCAAACAAGTTTCAAAAAATACATAGAAGCGTCCTTGGTAAGGAGTTTATCAATCTTGATAATTGCACGTGTGTGTTATTAAATAATGCTTTGAACGCCATTAAAATTTCATATATACGGAAAGGTCCCCCTGCCAGATCTGGCCTTTGTAGTAACCATTGACCTTAGAGTGTGCCTCAAGAAAAGAATTCTCTCAGGAGTCCACTTTTTAAAATGTTATGGAAGATTATAAACAAAATAATTTATTAATATATGCTATATCCCCTGACAATTGATTTTTCTAATAGTGAAGGGACCATTAACAGTGATTAGCCTCTGGTTACCTATTTTTAATAGCTATCACAATAAACAATAAGCCACTAAATAAAACCAATTAATCTTTTCTTTTTTTCTAAGTCCGCTGTCAAAAGTTGGGGAGATTTATTTCCTATAGTCAGAAGTCAATCCATTCGTTTTATGTTAATAGTCGCCATGGCAAAGATTTGTACACGGAAGAGCAGAAATGACCCCAGGGAGGCTTATCTCGGATTCTCCTATCAAGGGAATCCCAGGGAAGGCATAGAGGACTCTAACACATCCCCCTTGGCCACTCCTGGCCCAAGAGGCACTTGCTAGGTATCCAGTGACCTAAGGCACGGCTTTATAAAAACCTTGTAGAATTAAGCTGGACTGAATGGAAAGGTCTAGAGAAAAGGGGAGACAGCAGATTGGAGTCCTGCTTCAGCCGCTAGCATCAGGCAGCTGCGGGACTTGGACGAGTCAACTCCACTTCCGGATGACTGTCTCATCTCTCTGCTAAGAGCGATACGCTGAGCTAGCTGTTCTCCTGCATCTCATCGTGTTCCGTTCCTCCTTCCAGATCATCAACAACCACGTGCTGCCTGGGGATCTGTCCAAGACACAGCCCCAGGAGACGTGGACCAACAATATGACCTCTATCTTATGTTGCATCTACAAGGCAGCTCCCAGGACATGGAGCCTTCTAAGGTTGTGTGTGTGTGTGTGTGTGTGTGTGTGTGTGTGTGTGTGTGTTCATGCTCATTAGAATACAAACCATTTAAACTTAGTAAACATCTGAGAATTCAAGGCAACAAGAAAATCTAGTACCAAAATGTAGAACTAAACCTTACTTTAACTGATCTCAAGAAACAAAGTGACATACTTTCATCCTTAGGCACCTTGAAGAATAAGATTTTATACCAAATGGTTACATTCGCCTTAGCAGAAGCTGACTTTAGGTATAATTCAGAACTAAAACGTATACTCTAGCTGGCACTGTAATAACAGCTTGTCTCTCTCTCAGCCTAGAAATCTATAGAAAGTCGGCCTTCAGAAACTACAGAAGCCATCCAGCAAGTAGACAAGATTCCTTCTTTCCCTGGATTTTTGCTATTTCCTAAAAAATGAATAAAAGGAAACAATCCAAAAGTAATTTTGACACGGACTGCATTGTTGGGCTTCATGTAAAGACAAAGGCCTACATTCAAGACAAAGTGAATTCTCCAAGACCGAGGGCAGGGCTCGGAAAAAACTATCACCACTATGGAATCTTCTTTGGAAAAAATGGCCACAGGGGTTAAGACTCACAATTTACACCTGAAGGGCATGGAATTCCTTGCCATTACTCAGCTTTTTATTCTGATGACTAACACTCTCGTTAACTTGTCAAGGTCTGGCCAAACGGCAATCCAGTAATTGTTACTAAACAGTAGATACAATGCACTTCAACTCCAGAGTTCTTCCTCCCTACCATCAGGAGCTCAGGATGACGGACATCATGGAGGGCTGTGTTTGGCTCTTCTCCTTCCAGGTTCACAGCTCAATGGGATTCTCCTTCCTTAAGCACTCTGATTCTCCCCAAGTCTTCATCCACAGACATTTCATTATTCTCAAAAGAAATGCAACCAGCATTCCTCACACACGGATGACATCTCAAAACCAGAAGACGCTCATGGCTTTTTTATTACTTGAGACATCTAGCACTGTTGTCCGATGCTGGAAATGTTCTATGTCTAGGCTATCCAATATGGAAGCCAAGAGCTCCATGGTTCATGGCCACAGTTCATGGCATGAGAAATTAATTACTTAATTTTGATGATTTTCAATTTACCTAGCCTTGTGTGTGACTAGTGTCAACACAGAAATATCAAGGCTTCATGGAAAACGAGAAGGTGTCCCATACTCAATAATAAAAAAAAATAATAACTACAAAACCGACAAAGCCTGGGCTGACCTAGTGAACATTTATCACTGTGGGTTCATTTTTAAGCAGACAGAAAGTGGCGAGACAATTTTGTACATCCCCGGGCGCTCTCTCTGACTGGCACTAACCCTCCCCAAGATTCCCCTCCAGGACAATGTGCAATTCATTTGCTTTGAGTCTGTAATTGGTTTGGTGTACACAGAGAAGAAAGGATGAAACATTTAACAAAATTAAGTGTGGTTTGGTTTAAAATATTAATCTTTTGATTTTTCGTTCATGGCAACAGAAGCCTCCAGGACAAAAGTTGTTCGGCTGGGCCCACATTCTGTCTCTGCCCCAAGTCAAGTCCGCCCTCATGCAAATCTCACAGGACTTCAAAGGGAGCACTTCTTAGGTCACTGCTGGCTGTGAGGAGGGAGAAAAGAATGCAGGTCTACAGAAGGAGGAAAGATTTCAGGGAAGCGACAAGAGTACAGAGCCAAAGGACCTGGAGAACATGGAACCCTAGAAAGAAGAGAAGCTTCCCACTTGGGATTGGGGGGGAGGGATGTGGAAGGGTCGGGGAGGACAGTAGAACACGGATGCATTGCTAAGAAACGATTATGGGGATGGTGATGGATTATCTCCAGGCTCCTCCTACCAAACAGCACCTTCGAGGGTCGTCTTGCCCTCTGGTACCACCAAACCAATCACAGATGATGATACTGAACACAGCACAAATGTGAGGAGCTGATGGGGCACCCAGGAGGCTAAAAGGCAAACAGGGGCCACACAAAAATCAAAAAGGAGACAAGAAAAGGACGCAACATAAAGATAAGCATTATAAAGACACTTTCTGCCAAAAATAAAAAGAAGACATGGTCATCCGAAAATAATCCACTGAGATTGAAGGCGTTGCTTACCCCTTTCTGGAGCCCCCCCAGTGGAACTGTTGAAAGTTTCTGCAGCAGAAAAACAGAAGAGAAAAGGGATTTCTAACCTCCTGGTTCAAGCAAAAGGGATTTAAGCCATCCTAGGCTAGGTCATAAGCTAATGCAAAAACCCCAAGTGTTTATGACGTCCCTATGTAAAATTTTGGTGGATCTACAACCTAACAGCTTCTTCCCTTTGAATTCACTCAGGAAAAGACAAAGTCAGTAACTTGGGAAAAAGGAAGAAGAAAATTGGGGGTCTGTTTAATACTAACAGAAAAAAATCAAGAAATAACATCTCTGTGGTTCCCGGACCCTCCTAGACATGTTTGTTTGTTTGTTTGTTTGTTTGTTTTCCTCCTGGACATGTTTTTATCTTTAGTGCTAATTCCTACCTGGCCAGGTCAACAGAAATTTCTTTCTGCATTTAGTGTAAATAATGTAGTAATGAAAAATGGTAATGCTGGCAACCCTAGGTGTCCCCAGATCTTTTTCTTTTATATCAAGGCAGAGACTTTTTGATGGTCTCTCACATGGAAAAACTCACAAATACAGTCTCTTTGATGAAGGTTCAAATGTCTTGAATTTCGTGGCCAAATATTCCGTCTCTTGGGTGAAAAATCTTTTGGACCTCAGATTCAGGGGCCTGTATCAAATTTGAACCTGTTTGAAACTCTAACCTGTTTACCCTCTGACTTTGTCTTCGATGTCTCTCTTTTTCGCCTCTGGTGCTAGCAAGATATTCTTATCAAAATAAAAGCGTTTGAGCTTTTCAAACAGAGGGGAAACGGTCTCTGACTGGCAAGTCCTAAGCTTTGTCACTGCTGAATGGACACAAACTGCCAAAGATGAAAAGCCAGCTCATTTAGGAAGTCAATACCTAAAGAAAATACGTACATTCAGCAGTTGTAATTCTCCCCATGGATACTATGAGAAAAGGCTCCAAATTTCAGGACCATCGTATAGAAATCTGATGCCTCAATTTAGTTCTGGATATTTCTCCTATTTAGCAATTCACTCATGTGGTTAAGTATTATGGAGAATGTCTTTTGCTTCCAGACTTGGTAGTTCCGAGACAGCATTCTAGGGTCTAGAACAGAAAAGAGCTCTTCCAGTCCTACACACTAAAAGCAAATTGGATACCTAGAGAGAAACAAGTGCATGGGGAGTGGGTATCTCCCACTCTTTACCCCTTACCTCCAATAATCAATTTGAATACGATGGGGGTAATTCAAGCGTCTCCCCAACATGACTAAGAAGCAATGTACCTTACTACTTTGCCTATAAAGGGCCTAATTTTCTTGAAGTCATAAATCTTGAATTCAACTGATCCATGAATGACGGTGACCACTTTTCAAGAGTTGAGCAACAAAGCTCAGGGAAGGGAGAAGTACAAACCCACCTCTTGAGTAATTAGATCCCACTCTGCCCTTCTACCTGGGCACCAAGCGCCCACCACTGTACCTTATCTGGGAAGGCTGGCCACACCACACTTGGGGATCTGAGTCAAATAATCCCATGAGGATCTCGCACAGGATGGAAATCTCACGCTGTTCAGACTTTTGCCAATAATTCTAAATTAGCTTAGAATCTGCACTGACCAGTGTATCGAGATACAAAATGCATTTTGTATAGGTAAGTTTTCTCTATCTGTCAGGTATTTTTTCTGGCAGTTTATACAGATGCTTTGCAAATGATGATACTATTATTTGATGGGACAGACTTCCTAGGGACTTGAACCATAATTAAGTGTAATTGGGGTTGGATAAAATAGTCTGTTTCAGTATTTATTTACTGCGACCTATTCTCATTGTTTTATGTGATATTCAGCATGAAATCGTATCATACTCAAAGCTAAGCTTTGGATTCCAGTATCCAGAAACTTCCAACCATCATTTCATTTCACTTTGCATGTTCAGTTTTTATGACAACAATGCACCTGTGCAAACAGCAGATCCAAACACATCTGAATGCACTCGATTAAAATGTTGACGATCACACAAATTAATGCATCTTTTAATATTTAAAAAACTATGAAAATGCATGGCAAACTTTAGATAGATAGATCTTAAAGCTCTATGTACACCTGCAGGAGAGAGGAACTTTCAAAGAAAACACTTTCTGAGTGAGGAAAACATTTTCAAAACTTTCCTAACTCCTGTAAAGCCAAAAAGTACTAAGATGTTTGGATCTGGTGATATTTTTACTAGAGCCTCTCCTGTCAGAAGTAAAAGATTATAAAGACCCAGCTGCTTGGGGCACCTGGATGGCTCAGTCGATTAAGCGTCTGCCCTCAGCTCAGGTCACAATCTCAGGGTCCGGGGAATTGAGTCCCAGATCTGGCTCTCCGCTCAGTGGGGAGCTGGGGAGCCTGCTTCTCCCTCTCCCTCTGCTTGCCGCTCCCCCTGCTTGTGAATTCTCTCTCAGTCAAATAAATAAAAATCCTAAAAAAAAAAAGACCCAGCTGCCTTAAACACTCATCATGCAACCATTTCAACATTAATTACAGCAATGCTCTGATGCTAAAGCAAGTGGTTTCTAGAATGGCACAAATTAAAACATACACACATATAAATGTATGTGCTTATGTACACTAAAAGGGATTCTTTTTATTATTTTAGAAGAGCTCCATCCCCTCTCTGCAACCCCTCCACTCTCTGTGTCCCTGCTGAGTTTTCTATGATGCTGTTATACTCTGCATGGCTGGGAGGGGACAGCCCGGCGTAGAAAATAAGGCAGAGAGTATAAGTGACTTAAATGAATCAGTGGCCAAATTAAGAAAATAATTCAGAAGACCTGCCTCTGAGTCTCCCATCCTCCTTCCAAAAAATCCTTTCCAGCGTTTCTATTCGAAGTGCGTTTTCAAGGCTATTCCTGGATATTTGGGGTTTAATCAAATTTTTCACAGGACATGAAGGAGAGAGAGAGAAAACACACTCCTTTCTTATTGAATTATTTTGATTTTTGTCTTTTGCGCTCCCAGCTATCCAGACTGTCGAATAAACCAGTTCTGATTCATAAATAATAGTTCCATTATATCTACTGTGCCACTCGTCAGAGCACCTGAAATTTTAATTCACTTGTTCAGCTAAATTTCATCCTCAGTTCATGGCCATAAAATTCTTTATTGACAAACTTTCAAACCAACTTTGACTCTGAGGTATCTAGTCAACATTTTTCTTCTGTGTGGATATTAGTTTATTGAATAAGTGGCATCTGTTTTCCTCCACATCACTGGCCGAGTAGGTATTTCCTTTTGACAGCTTTGCAGGATTTATGGCTTTGCATGCTCTGAAGAAAAATAGTACTAAGCAAAAAATTCCAATTCATTACCTCTTAGTACTTAATTAAGTTCATACCCACGGCACACTGGAGGTGAACCCTGAAATGCCCGTGACAGCAAGCAGAGCAGCCAGCTATATTATCTTAGGAAGACAGAGAGGATTCTGATGAGCTTGACCTCATTTTTCCAGCTATGATATTCAGGCGTGCGCCGTCTACTTTGCTCCCCGTTGGACGTGGGCAGAGCAGTGTGGACACCAAGAGCAGAGTTGTCCCCATAACCCACAGCCCGTCTCGACAATAAGGTCCAGCAGGGGCCCCACCATTCATCTGTGCCCTTCCAGAATGCGCACACCTCCCATCACAGGGTTCTTCCCTACCCCGCCCCTCCATAGCCCCACGCAGGCACAGTGCGGCCAGAGGAGGCGCCCGGAGCCCGGCGGGCAGAAGACAAACCATGGGGTCGCCCTGCGTGGGGAGCAGCGAGAGTTGGGGTTACCTGTCGGGGTTCTGCGTGCACACGTGCATCTGTAGGAGGATCCGCTGCGTGAAAGTCTTAAAGCACTGGCCGCATTTCCAGAGATGCCAGTCGCTGAACTCCGAGTGGAGCTGGCTGGTGGAAGTCGGGCTCGCGAGCACTCGCTGGTTTTTCACGTTGATCTGGTTAAATCCTGATTCCATGGGCCCGGACTTGTCCAGGAGAGAGAAGTTCCTGGTGCAGGGAGTCTGCGGGAAGACCACGGAGCGCTGCTGGGTGGCGGGGGGCAGCTTGCCGCTCTTGCTGAACGGCTGCAGGACGTCCTGTCTGCACATGGCCTCCATGACCGTCGAGGGCACGTTTACTGGGAGAACAGCAAGAGGGTGACAAGATCAGTTTTGCTGGCCTTGAAAATAAACACAATAACACACACTTTAAAAAAAAAATTCCTACAGATCAAGATTTTAAAATTTTTTCTGGACTCCAAAGTAACACAGGAACAGACTCTCTGCCTCAGGGGGGTGGGGGAAGCAGGCTTGCTGCAAATTCCTAGCTCCCTCAATGCCTACTTATTTAGCAAATACTATACGTTCAGGATTGTTGGCATGCTGTCTTTGCCTCACAGAGTTCACTTACGGGTTGAGGCATAAAGACTACAGGATGAGACTCCACATTGCCTCTGGGTTTAGAGAGCATTCAGAAGGAAAAAACAGCAAAGGAGGGGGGAGAGAAAGGGTGGCTGCCCATAGACGGTAAACGTGAGCAATGCTGAGAAGGTAGAGATCCAGGCCCTCGGGATTTCAGGCCTTCCACTGGACCTTGCCAGCACAGAACATTCCAGAAGCACAGGCTGAAAGATGAAGGCAGCAATGTGAAAGACACCTGGAGACAGAAGTCTGGCACCTTGGTGGGATGGTGATGGAGATGGGCTGACCAAGCAGGAATGGGTTCTCAATACCGTGGGAATAAAGGGTATAAGAGGGGGTAGATCTCAGAGGCTCCTTAAAGTCCAAATAAATAAAAGACATCAGACCTAGGAAACAGACACAGAGTGTTTCTGCACAGAAAGTGCAAGAAAAAAAAAAAGAAGAAAAGTGTTCAGGGTGGGTTTGAGTCAGGTGTGATCTACAGACAGGGTGTAGCGACTAAGGTAAGAGTGGGGGTGGGGCAAGAGAGGAGGGTGCCGGCAACTCAGGTTTTGGAATCAGAAAGGCCAGGGTTCAACTCTCAACTCTGCCTTCTGTTAGCTTGGTGATCTCAGGTTAGTTATTAAAAAAAACCCACAAAACTCCCTGTGCCTCAGTTTCCCCATCTGTAAAAGGAGGCCAGTGGGAGTAAGAATCCTAGAACAGGAGCATGGCGAAGTGGTTGAGATGTCCCCTATCTTAACTCCACTACCTATATCAGCCTCGGGACGGCTGGCAAGTCTGAAAGTCAAAATCCCCAATTTTGTCCTTGGTGAAACGTAAAATGGGTCACCCTGAGGATTAAGTCAATGCATAGACAGTATTTAGAAAATGCCACGGTTGCCACTCCACAGATGTGGCGCCCTAGGAGCACGGGGTTCATCCTGAAACCTCCTGTTAGGACATGTAAATGAGACAATGACAGCGTCCCTCATAAGGCCTCCCATCAACAGTAGCCACCATTCCCACCACTGTAGAGAAGAGATTGGAAGGAGGGAAGATGGATGTGGACTGCAATGGTGGGGAAAGAACTAGAAGTAAGAAACACTTCTGAGGAAGGGAGACTAAGAGAGGTGAAATCGGTTTCTTTTTTTAAGTTGTTATGATACTAATAATCTGTCTCATGCACTTGCTGGTCAACTCACATGGGCAGAAGGGATCAGAACCTAACACACTTCGAAACTACCGTTCTTGTTTTAAGTAACTACTGCATCGATAACATGCATTTATTGGTTATTTCAGCGGTCAAAGAGATGAAAGATTACAGGGTGGGCAAGAGAAGAAAATCAGAGACCAGAAAATTGGAAGAGGTTGAAGGGCAAAAAAACAGGGAGTGGGAGGGAAACAATGGCTCTGGACCACCGGTTCAAGGTCACATGGAAGAACACAGATGACCTGGGGGCTTCTGTCCTTCCCTGCCACAGACCATCACAGAGATGCCTATGTAGCGCGCAAACTCAAGCGAGTTCAACAGCAAAGAGCGAATGGTGGTGGACAGTGACCACCAGGAGGTTCCGTGTTTGGATGGACAGGGAGGTGCCATTCTCAGTGGAGAGCAAGTGGATACTGTGTTGCCATTAAGGACTCTCCAACCCAGAGAATGTTCTGTAGAATTTTGATACAGCTATGCAGCTGTATCAGCTATGATACAATGCTACAATGATACAGCTATGATACAAATCCCCCAAAAGGAACAGCTCTGTTTATGGGGCCCTGGCAGCATGGCCCATCCTGTCTTGGGAAGGGAAAAGAAAGCAAGAGACTGGCAGACCTGGAGAGACCCTAGGGTCTGTGCAGCGGAATGCACATTTATACTCGCAGGAGAGGCTCTTAAAAAATTAAATCAGGGGTGCCTGGGTGGCTCAGTGGTTAGATGTCTGCCTTTGGCTCAGGTCATAATCCCAGAGTGCTGGGATGGAGCCCTGCATCAGGCTCCCTGCTCATCAAGGAGTCTGCTTCTCCCTCTCCCACTCCCCCTTCTTGTATTCCCTCTCTCGCTGTCTCTCTCCCTCTGTCAAAAATCAATCAATCAATCAATCAATCAATCGGACTCTCTTGATAGGACCTGGACATCTGAACTTTTAGAAACTCCCCCAAGTTCTTCTCATAGATCATCAGGTTTGAGAATCACGGATCTAAACCAACCCTCTCTTCTTGTGAATCAAAAAAGCTGAAGCCCCAGAAGGTCCAATACTGGCACCTGCCCAGGGTCACACAGGCAGTCAAAGACAGCTGAGTTGGAAGCTTTAGCCTTCTAACTTACAAGGCTTTTTTTTTTTCTGGCCACACTTGTATCTTGTCACTGCTCACCAGCTGTTTTCAAAAATAAAAGGAACATTTTATGGCTAGTACAGTGTTTTCTGTGTGTGTGTGTGTGTGTGTGTGTGTGTGTAACTATATCCTATAAACATGTATGTCATATACACATACATGCTATATATACACCTTTACATACCCATGTACACGTTCATGTGTGTCTGTCTTTACCTTATAGGTAAATATTTACGTGTAATTTCGACCTCTGAGGCAAAAGTGTATAATCAATATGAAATCTGTCCACACATTTTAGGCTTCCAAAAATAAAAAATCATTGCACACAGACTACTACTCTCTAAATCGGCACTGAAAGGTAAGGAGGGATATTTGACATAGGGGCTTAGTCCTTTTCAAGCAAAAAGTAACAGCAGCATCGTCAGAGATCAGGGCAGAACCCGTTTTGTGTCGCCTGTTTATAACTAAGCCAGAAGCGACAAATTACAGGGGAACCCACACATTTTCAGGCAACTTGAAGCTCTTGCAGGGTGGTAAACGCCAGACCAAAAGGAAGGCACGGTGGAAAGATCATCAAATGAGGATACCACCAGCACGCACAAGAGCAGGGTCACCAGCCAGAAGCTTTGCCGTGGGAAGAGGAATATAATGCCTTTGGGGGAAATTAAAGCAAAGGCGACTTTATGTACAGATTGTAAATTCTGACTTCTCACCTCTCCTGAAAAATAACCTAATAAATTAATTTTCAAAAATGGTTAAGGTCACATCCCCTTTATACGAAGCATGAGAATTGGTGGGCAAATGAATTTAACTTTAATGATCAATGTCAACATGGTAATAAAGAAGAATTTACACCAGTTTGTATAATAATCTGGGATATATGGGATCCGAGGTAGTAATAGTATCAGGCAATAACGGTGCAGATGGCTGGAATTAAATTATGCCCTGTCTTGTTATTGCCTTCTCTGCGATGCCTGAGAGCAGAGGTAATACGCTTTTAAACTGTAAGTAGCAACAATGAGACACTACTCCCCTTTTGGTATACACTCCTCTACTCTAAGTATGACTCAATTCAATCCTGCTGAATGAAATGAGCATGTAATGCAGAGAAGAAAAAGTAAGGACGGGAACAATAGCAATGAATCTGAGCTCTAAACTGTCCTGCAGAGCCTCCACACATTTCCATAAGACCCTAGAAATCGAGGGAGGATAGCTTTTCAATTTTTATTTATTTTTAAAAAGATTTTATTTATTTATTTGACAGAGAAAGAGAACACAAGCAGGGGAAGCAGCAGGCAGAGAGGGAGAAGCAGGGTCCCCACTGAGCGGTGAGCCCAATTCAGGACTCAGGAGCCTGGCATCACAACCTGAGCCAAAGGCAGATGCTTAACTGATTGATCCATCCAGGCGCCCCAGGTGCCCCAAGCATAGCTTTTTAAAGCAGGACTTAAAGGACACTGAAAGCTGTTTTTCCTGAAAGGCAGCCTCGCTGCTGCCTACAACAATTCAAAGTATTAACAAGACACAGGACCTTATCAGAGAGGGGACAGCCCATTCAGGCAAATGCAAGACGCCCAGAGATGACTAACCAAAGTGACCTGACAATAAAGTGCTTTCTACACAAAGACACACCCGGCTAGTACGGTCTCTTCCTCCTACCAAAGATGAAAAAATAAGAGAGCAGACTCTCAAAGTCCTAAAGGATCTAGTGTCAAGGAACAACATGAACTCCTCCAACCCAAGCAAATGAAAAGACTGGGAACGGCAAATGCAGAATCCTAAAACAAACCTTCGTCCATTCATTCAGCCCACAAATACCTAGTGAGCGTCTGCTTGGTGCCTGACACCCCTGGTGCTGTGGGGTTCCAGCAATAAGGAAGCCCCAGCCCCTGGCCTCAGGCCACTTACACTCCAGTGAGAGAGACAGATATCAAACAAAGTCTTTACAAACAAGTACTTACTCTGTTTCATCAGATCTAAAATGCCGTTAATTGCAGGTTGCTCTGTGAACTATCACCATTCATTGCAAGGCATCTCCCAGGTTCAGAAAGAACAAAATGGGAACAACGTATATGTGTTGCCACAAGCATGATACATACATGTTATGAGAGATACAAAGAGGTACCTAGAAAGCGTACCACTTCTGTGGCCACAATTGCAGCGTGAGGGGCAGCTTCCCTAAGGCAGTGACCTTGAATGTGAGTCCTATAGGGCGTGCAGGTATCAGGTGGGAAGGAGAAAAAAAGACAATGCAAGAAGATGAAATGTGGGCAGCTTGGCCATAGTGTCTGTGTGGATGCTGAGCGGGGAAGGAGCTCAAGAGAGGACGTAGGGTCTGTAACAAACTGAATGGGGCATGGCCAGTCCAACAACACTCAAATTCTCATTCTGCCAAGCATCATGGGAG